GAGCCTTGCCCAGCTGTCTTCGGGCAGTCGGCAGGGCACACATTGACGAACAACCATCCGTGCACACACACACATTCATCCATCCAACCGCTTTACCGTCACGAGGGTCGCGGGCATGTTGGAGCCTATTCCAGCTGACTTTGGGTCGTAGGCGGGGGACACAATCGCTGGGCACACACAGACGAACAACCATTCACACTCACAATCACATCAAAGGACAATTTAGAGTGATTAATTAGCCTCCCGTGTATGTTTGTAGAATTTGTAGGACACCGGAGTACCCGGAGAAAACCCACGCAGGCACGAGGAGAACATGCAAACTCACACAGGAAGGCCGGAGTCATAATTGAACCCTGCACTTCTGCACTATGAGTGTGTGTGTGTGTGTGTGTGTGTGTGTGTGTGTGTGTGTGTGGGTGTGGCTGTGTGTTGGTGTGCGCGTCTGCATACACCTTGAGGGTGTGTGTGTGGATGTGACTTGTTCCTGTCTATCACTGCAGTGCTTTGATGCATAATGTGGCAGAATGCTTTTAGTCTTGCTACTCATTAATACAAGGTGAAAGGAACAAAAACAGGGGATTTCCATTGGTGTCACAGGGAGGAAGGTATTTAAAAAATGCTGACTGTTAATCCATGGAAACGTTTGTAAACCTGATACGAACTCATAGGACACACACGTTTGGCTGTGAAATGTTTTCTTATAATAAGAATGAACATTTGCAGTTGGAATGCAATTGTTCGTTTGAACCTTGCCTTGATGCTTGATGATTCTGCTTCAGTTTAATTTAGAAATAACGTGACAAAAATCTGGGCTAAAGTCACAGATGAAAAGAGGGGTCACAAATTTTCTTGAGCTAAAAATTGACTGCTGATCACAGCCAGATCCTTGTGTGGTTGGGATTAGAGTGCATACTGAAGATTTTAACCAACACATCTCTTGAAGGTGTTTTTTTTCCGCACGGCTCTGAGACACCAGTAGGTTGATGGCTCTTGTAAATTGACTATTGCTTTCTTTTTGGACGGTGGAGGCATCAACCAGTCACCTGATCTCATCCCCTTTTTATTCTTTGGCCTCAGCTGGTGCCATGGCATTGTTATAAGACCAGAGTAGCCATTTCTACAAAGATACACGCACACATTGTACATGGACACCACCCTCATATGGCTCGAGGGCTATCAAAGGAATGTCAAAGATGGTTTCAACCTCTTTGTATGTGGCCTCTTTTGCCAACACTGTATGCTGGTGCTTCGATGTGGTTGGAGATTGTGATGGCCCAGAAATGCATTGTAAGTGACTGAAATATAATAAGGCCACTCACCCTAAGGGTAGAATGAAATGGTGATAAAACACGGATGGCTTTGAAGTCAGAGTTTGAATTTCAAATAGAAAAAAGACAAAACATAATTTCTCTGAATGAAGAAAAAAAGAGATCCAGACACACTCGGTGGCAAAGTATCAGATTCACAGCCTTATTTATTTGCAGCCTAAAACTATTGCTTGCTTTGCTCGACTTAATAGGTACTATCCACTTACTCTAGCAGACTGAGCATATTGTTTCTATCTAATTGACACTAAGCTCATGGCTATTACCATGTCAACACTGGATTACTGCTGCCTTTGAGCTTGTGGAGTGGTCGACTTGGCCCACATTCAGGCCTTGTTTTCCTTTCCACTCTTGTCCTCTGCCGCTTGCACACATCTAGTCGGGCGAGCTCATGCGCGATCGTTTCAAGACACACACACACACACACACACACACACACACACACACACACACACACACACACTGAAACACATGGAAACGCTCCCTGTCTCACATTTCTGTCTTTCCACCCCGTCTTTCTCCCTCATCTCCTTCACAGAAAACATGTTCCAGCAACAGACCAGGATTCCAAGGCCAATTTCACCATCACCGTAAAGTCCCCCCTCTCACAGGATCCCCTCGGTTCAGAGACGAGTGAGTGGGCATTCAGAGGCTGGATAAGTTGGTGACTGGCCAGGAACGGCCTCTGGTGAACAGAGACAGTAATTAGCACACAACAACCATTAACAAACAGATTAGCCCCTTAACCAGCATGGAATCCTGTCATCATTGTCGCGTACGTGTACGTGTGAAAATAGAAACCCACTGGTTGGTGAATACCTGAGTTTCACTTCAGCCTTTAAGACAGAGGCGGAGTTATGTATTTGATTTGTAATATATGAACAGGATGTGGGTTACCAACCTAACTGAAAAACTATCCAACCTTTTTCCAAGAAAATCTTGTAGGCGGTGGGGCAGGATCTGAGGGGGATATTTTTCTTCCAAAGATTAAGTTATTTTGATGTTTCTCACTCACGTTTATGTGCCGATATCTCCAAAGCGATGTAGGGTTAACAAAGCCATTGTGAAAGGCAACGCAACAAACCTGTTGAATCATTTGAACAAGTACTGTGCAAGTGATGTGGAGCACATGAAAATGCGAACAGAGTTTACATGGCCAGGCCATGTAAACTTTAGGCGTCAAACCATGCATCGACCAGACCAAAGCAGCACTTTTATGCTGCATATTTGCAATTAGCAGTGATTTTAACAATAACAATGAACTCAAAAATGTTTAGATTTTAAGACTTATTGATTATTCCTCAGGGCTCAATTTTTATTAGCTCACCGAATAGTTATTTTATAATATTATACATTTGTTGTACTGTTGAGCAATAAATGCTTTTTAAAAAAATTCCCTTTTCATTATTTTATTCGAAAAATGTATTCCCCGTATTACAATTTTCAAGTTCAGTCTGGTAATCTGATTTTTCAGCACAGATGGTTTAAAACCGGCAATTGAAAAGCAATTTAAAGTCATGAAAATTATCGTTGCATCCAAATGTCAAAACATAACAATACATTAGTCCGTTGAATTTGCTGATTTTTTATTTTTTCAAGGGGTTGCGCACCATAAAATCTATTTTGGAAGTAGACTCGACATCTACTTCAAAAATGTATCTGGATCCACCTGCTCGCAGAGTAACAGCATTTGAGCACCATTTTATTGTGTGTACATCATTGTAAAACTGAAAGAAATGTGTATCAAATGACTTCCCTTATTTGTTTATTCACTCACAGTATAACTGCATATGTGCACATATGTTGTTTTGTCTTTTGTGTGTGTTTATGTTCAGCCTCATTTCCTCAGTGCCTGCTGGTCACTTTTGGCATTTGGTGAAAAAAAAAAAGATGCTTCCATTCCCCAAGGCTCCTTCACTTCCAGCACTGTGTGAGATGAGGCTGTGATATGTGGAAATTATTTTTTAACCACTATAAATCGCTGATTCCCATCCTCTTTTCTCTCTCTCCCTCTCTTTCCCTCCCTATTCCTCCCCCATAGCTGGTGAATCCGCCCTGCTGTGTGCGCTTAATGAAAGATAAGAAGGGTCTTCCACCACTGACACTGAGCCACGGACCCTCAGAGGACCGCGCTAATCTGCTTGGCTCCTAATGGAGGCCACTTTGTGTCTGCCGAGGATCATTTCATATCAAACAAATTGTGTCCTGTGAAACCCATTACATTTTGGGCCCTTTAGAGATTCTTCACCCTTAGCTGACACATAGAGGACATTCTCAGCCTGACTTTGGATGGTGTAAACATTCCCAAAGATGTTCCTCTGTGGAGCAGCCCTTTGCCAGTTTGAAGAAGGGCTTTGTGCATGGTTAAAACCTGATCAAGCTTACATGAACTGGAGAAGAAAAAGACAAAACTATCAGAGTCCTTGCAGTGAAATGAGAACACATATGGAAAAAATAGAGCCGAGGGGGATATAAGTGACTGACAAAGAGTGAATAAATGTTCATCTTTGTAATCTTACCTGTATTCAGTCGTATAATTGTGTCTCTGCATGGGTTGCAGTGGCATGTGCCGGTAAGATCTGGAAAATTTCTGAAGAAAATTACACCCACATGTTATGATTGCTGTACTTACTGTATTTCAAAAAAAGGCAGGCACAGCTGGGTTCACAAATTAAGCAACACGGTCACAGCATGTGCCTCGAAAAATCGGATGTTGTTTGCTGGAGCGCGAAAGGTGGACTGAAACAGCCACGGTGAGGCAGATTTGAAAACACCATCACAGACAACATGTTCCTAATACATCTCCAGTCACCCTGCAAAGCACAACTGTCACGGTAAGCGGCAGGCACAACAGCGAAACATGTAGAGTAAATTTCTATTTGTATTGACAATAGTGTAATCTGCTGGGACAGTGTCACCCCTTGTGCAGGTCATCACTCTTAATGTTTATGTTATGTGTCTGCCCGGGTGTGTGTATTAATGTGTATGTTTTCCTGCATGCCGTTTCATCGCATGCTTGTGTGTCTGTGTATGCCATCAGTTCTGCTGGAGGAAAAAAAAAAACAAGGAGGGGTTGGGAGTTGAAAATGATCTGGGGCCGATACATATGAAATAGGAGGGCTCATACATAAACATAGCACCAAGGCCCCGGGGCCAGGCAATCTACGAGGCAAATTGCTCACCAGTCAGCCATGGAGGCCGCACTGTTTACTATGCATGAGGTCTTGTGACATGCTTTAAAGCCGCCCCTAAAACTGGATGACTGGGCTTGCGGTATTGAAAAGTTTGCTTTTTCCATTGCTATGGTGCTATTTCCTATGAAATACTGTGTACTGTATGCAGTGGGCGGAGGACAGATCAGCACATTGCTCTGCGAAGCTGTTGTAAGTTGCACAGTGCTGTGCGGGTGTTATAGTGTTGTTGAAAACAAACATTTTTGATGCAGCAAATTATTCCTATAAATGCACTGAACATTGTATGCACTGAGATTGTAACTGAGTCGAGATAGCAATGGTAATCAAACTGGCAAGCATGTCGGAAAAGGACCAGAAGGACAATTTGACTTTTTTTTTTTTTTTATATATTTTTTTTTTTTTACTGCTGATGATTTTATTTTTTTTTCGATTGAGGTAAACAAAATAAGTGCATCCAGACAATAATATACAGTTTGTTAAATCTACAAATATTCACTCTTGAGGCTGAACATTTAATCCGGCACAAGTTTAAAAGAACATGAATAAGACAAATGAGCAACTATAAGAGAGCATGAAGCAATGGTGACATTTAAACAAGCTACTGGAACACAGCTGCACTTACCAGCCTGGAGTCCCAGGGGGAGCACTCATCAATTCCATTCCAATCTGCGACCCCATAGGGCCCAAGTTCAAGTTCAAAGTCAGGCAACCATGGTGCCATCAGGAGAGTTGCCCACCCACATGTCCCGGAGTTAACGATAGGCCGACTCTAGATGAGGTCAGAGCAAATTGAGGAGGAAAGCTATTTAAAATATCCCTTTTTGAGAATTGAGGCTGCTTGTATGTGTGTGTGTGTGTGTGTGTGTGTGTGGATGACAGTCACATTGCACCTTTGCTTCCCCTCTGTCTCTCTTTTTCTGTCCATCTGCATTTTCTCTCCCTCTCTCAGGCTATAATTATGCTAATAGTATGTATATAGCAGTGGCCCCAGAGGCTTGGGGCATATTGAAGGCTCCCAGGTCTTTCCCTCCTGTAACAGTATTAGGGTGCTATTGAAAAGCAGACGGCGGGTGAGAAGGGGGGCAGGATAGAGAGATAGCATGGGGTGGCAAATGGGACATGACCACCGTGCTCTCTGTCACGCCGCCGCCCATTGTCTGGCCAAAGAAAAGGGCCTCCGTCACCAGTGGGATGATAATAAAGAAGCAAGAATGGGCCGCGCATATTAAACAACACAACGGACCATGCAGACCAACCTGCATGGGTGCGCTGACGGGAAAAGCACATGGACCGGGCCGATCGAGAAACTGGTTTAATGGGAGAGGGAGGGACCGCGGGAATGGAAGAAAGAAAAGGTTGCATCGTGTGGAAGAGGCACAAAGAGAGGGAGACAAACACAGATAACTGTTAAGTATTTGTTTTCCTTTCAAGACACCTGCTAATGTCAGAGGTCTCAGCCAGTGTCGGATAAAGGCCATTTTCCCACAAGCTGCTCTTTCAGGTTTTTTTTTTTTTTTTTTTTACGGGGAGTCGTTTGGTGAAAATAGCTTCAAACCTCCTATACTGTAAATGAGTCAGTTATGAAGTCATATTTTAATTATATTTTGACATTCAGTTAATATTGCAATACTTCAGTCAAATAATCGCAATTATTAGATCCTTATTAACTGCGCAGGCAACAATTTCAAAGGAATGTTTACAACCATCAGGTTAACAAGTGAACATGTAAATTAATTGATACATAAAATATACAGTCAACAATATATAAAGTCACTTTTGTTTTTGATAACGTGCAACAAATGATGAGGTCTTCAGGGTGAAGGGAATTCAAGCTGCCCTTTATACAGTACATGCAGTCTCATACAGTCTATTTATTTTTTTAGATGTTTTCCAAATTAAAGGTAAGCTATAATGTGCTGGCCCTAACCAGAGATGTGTGTACAGGATGCACACAAAAATACACGTTAGCTGCTCACTGAGCTGATCTCTCATGTTGTCAGTTGGTTGTAAAGCATGCAGAGGAGCTAACACTCAACCTCAATTCAAATATTTGTTAAATGAAATTATATTTATTTATTTTTCTATCCCTAAATAGCAGTCTATTCTCTTCAATTCCTAACCCTGGTTTAATTGCTGTGAAAATGTGTACGTTAGATTTTTTTTTTTTGTGTGTCAATCAGGTTTCAGCCTCTATGTGCTGCCATATCAGTCTTATGTGCCCAGGGCCTTCCGAACAAAATTACTTAAACTGTATTAGCAATTGGAGCGTTTATTTGACCAACACAGTTCGAAATCTTTCCTCCCAAGTTGTGTTTTTGTATAATATTGAAGGTTGTGGAGGGTTCGCTCTCCGAGTCGGAGTACAACTTTTTATTTTCCCTAGTCAGTCTTATCTGCCCAGGGCCTTCCAAACAAAATTACTTAAACTATATTAGCAATTGGAGCGTTTATTTGACCAACACAATTCAAAATCTTTCCTCCCAAGTTGTGTTTGTTGTATAATATTGAAGGTTGTGGAGGGTTCACTCTCCGAGTCGGAGTACAACTTTTTATTTTCCCTATATTTTTCCCAAATATTTTTGTTGAGTTCCAAATTAGACAACAATTACAGTATATTATCACAGTAACTGAACTCGTGTGGAAGTTAAAAAAAAAAAAGCTTTGATTTAACGCAACAAAAAGATGATTTTGTCTGAATTTGTCGAGGTCATTAGAAATGCATATGTTTTCAGAAAACAATGTCCTTATACAGTAAAACCATGTATACACTGGAATATATTGTAAATCTCAAACTGCTACGGGGATGGTTAGATCCACAACCCAACTTTTATTCCCCCGAGCTCATGAAATATATCTTCCATACAATGAATTTCAGGAAGTTATAACAACAATGGTGGAACAGTTAAATCATCACAGAGACAATCAAATATTTTCTAGGACTTCGGCATGCTCTCTACCTGTTTTAAGGAGGAAATCCCTGAAGTTTTTATATACTCTTCTGATCCTCTCTTAGAGCTTTTGAGCTTTTGGGGATTCTAAAACTGTTTTGATGGCCGCTGTCAGATATGGGGCATTAAGATCAACCAAGTGTACGTCTGATCCGGCTTTCCTTCCAGTCTGATGGTAGCTCAACTCACAGTCCCAAGTTCCAGTGTTTTTTGTTTTTTGCCTGGGTGCTACCTGCCCCCACCCATTCCCATTCCCATCCTTGCCCTCCTCTGTCTTTGCCTGAGTATGTTGAGAGGTGTCAACAGTAGAGGCGTGGGTGTGGAAGGCTCTAGCATGGTTCACGGCTATCGCATGTGGCCCGGCAGCTATGCAGCGTGGCAACCATCTGTCCACATGTCACACAGTGAGTTGCTCTCTCACTTTCTCCCTTGCTCGCGCTGTCACTTCCTGCCCTCCTTTTCATTCTTCCTCATCTCCTGCATACATCGTCAGTAGCAAGAGGTTAGTACCCCATTAAAGGAGCCGAGAGGGGAGTGGTGAAAAACAACGTCAACTCTTTCCTCTTTTCGGAACAAGCAGACTGCACACCTCCGACACTTTACATTTTGCAGACAATGCAAGCTATTGACAATCAGCGGCCACGGTCTTGTGAGAAGTACGAGAGCTGTATGAAAAAATATATCAAGGATGATCATGCTTACTTTTCATTAGCACAGGCATTATTTTAAATAAAATGTTTATGGCAGTTGTTGAGGTTTGCACTTTGTCCTCCTCTATTGGTGCAGATTCAATGTTGTGCCCGTAGAACTTTTTGTCAGAGAAAAAGGCAGCACTCTTCACAGACCAGCGAGTGGCAGTGTGTCACAGTTACAGCAGACCACCTTCAACCATCCACATGTACTGCGATTGCATAAATGGCAATATGTGTGCATCCGTGTCTGTACAGTTGTAGCTTTCTTTTTCAAATGTCCCCTTGACTCCGCAGCATTTTTGCACACTCATGTGATCAACCCTCTGTACACGTTTGCGTTTGTTGAAAGTAACATTTTTTTTTGCCTGTCTGATTAATTGTCTTCACCACATAGGCAGCCAGAAAGAAAGTAGTAAGAAGATAGTAGTAGCAAACAAACCATAATATTGTCAACAAGGATTCCACTGGATTAATGACCTTAAAAACCTGGAAATGTCCATAGATCTCGACTATTTAGCTTATAATTTCCTCCCTGGGTCCTGAGCATTAAACCCGCTGTGTTGTTCTTGGCAGTCCGCAGCCGGACCAGATCATCTCATGGACGTTGATACTTTCCCCTGGGATCCATTCGCCTCTCCATTTGATGGAAGCCAAAAGGGGCCTTTGGCCAGAAAGGTCCCATTA